CCCAGCCACAGCACACCAAACCTGGGGAACAGACGCCAAAACCCCTGATGTGGGAGGAAGGGGCTATCGAGAGCAGAAGACACAGAGAAAGCTAAAGAAAGGTAAACAAGAGATTATGGGGGTGGGGGGAAACCACCAGATGCTCAGAAATCCCCAGGGAACTGCATATCATGGCCGGGACATTGTGCGGAGGAAAAACAAACAATGACCGGTCCATGACAGCCCAATGATTAGGTCATCACAACAGCGCTGGTTGCAGAGGCAGGCAGGAAACCACGGCACAGCCCAGGCTGCTCCTGATGGGATGGGGGGGAACTAGCCCCCAGCATGGGGCTGCAGAGCAGGCAGCCCACACACGGACAGGCAGCAGCACCCGCCAGCATCCCAACAGGCACTGGAGGTGTTTGACTAACCTCTTGCAAAACATCTGTCTCCCCTCCAGCACAGCTGCCAGCACCAAGGAGCACAGCAGCTCCCCAGGGCCCTGCAGAGCCCGGGGTGACAGCGTGGACCAGCAGCCCCCGGCCAGGAGCACCCCTACACCCTCCACCCATGGGGCTGAAAAGGGAGGGGGGGTCTGCAGGCTGCCTGCAGCCCTGGAAGCTTAATGCAAGATCCCGAGCACGGCTTCATACACGCAGGGAACTGCAGAGGTGGCGATGGACCATGAGCTGGGTCCATGGCAGAGAGCCAGCCCCAGCCCCGTGAGCGCCTTGGGAAGGTTTGTGCTTAGGGCCTCTTCTGTGAAAGCAGCGAGGAAATGTTTGCGGCGTGTGCAGCCGAGCACGGAGAGTATTTAGGCACCCAGCAGAGTCCTGGGCGCTGCTAATGGGCTCCCAGCAAGGGGGATGTCTGCGAGGATGATGGCTAACACCTAGCGAAGGCTCCTTGCTGGGCAAGATCCCAGCTTGAGCCCGAGGCGCCGCAGGCCAGATTGCTGTGCAAATCCGTTCCCTGCAGGTGTCAGCCAGCAAGTAGCAGTGTGGGAAGACTGTGACCCTGCAGACCGCGTCTGTCAGGCTCCAGGACCCCCATGCCACCCCTGCCTCTGCCCTTGCAGAGTACCTGGGACATCCAGGTCATCCCCATTCCTCTCGCTGTCTCCGTCCTCCTGCCCGTCTGCATTCTGCTGGGTGTGCTGCAGGCTCAGCTTGTGGCAGACCTCAAACGCCTGCCCCACAGTCCGGACAATGCGCATGGCTTGGCTCTGCGGTGGGTAAAGAGAGGAGGAGCGTAACCTCAGCTGCCCTGCCTGGTGCCCTCCCCAGCCTGGCACAGCTCTCAGGGGTCTCTGTGCGCTGCCGCGGGGACTGAGCACAGCCGCAGACACCAGAGCTCAGATCACCACAGCGCTCTGGGCCGCCTGCTGCAGTGCAGTGCCACAGGGTCCTGCCCCAGCTGCCCCACCAAGACCACCGACAGCGGGATGAGCACCCCAAGACCTTTACCTTCTTCTTGGATTTGAAGACGTTGCACCTGAAGACATTGCTAGACCCATCCCTGGCAATGTAGCTGAAGATCTTTAGGTCCTGGGAGTCATGTGACACGTAGAATATCCTGCAAGGACAGAAAGAAGGGGAGGATATCAACATATATATTACCCACATGCCCAGGAGACTGACGAGGCCACAGCCAGTGCTTCCCAGGGCACTGGGTGCTGGCAGAGCCCCAGCCTCTGCAGCACATCCCTGCTAAAGCCCATCAGAAATTTTTTTGGCAGTGGTTTTGCCTCAGCTGGGAAAATCAGCCTGCTGACTCAGCAGCAGCAAGCATTTTGTGAAGGCAGCACAGGGCTTTCTCTGCTCAGCCCCCAGGGACAGAGCCAGCAGCCCAGGAGCCCTTCAGGGACCAAGGAAAGCAAACCTCACTCCTCCTGCCTTGCCTGTTTGGACAGCTGGCCTTCTTGCTCGGGCACCTGCCCCAGCCAGCGTGCCGCCCCCTCCCCAGCACGGCTGGGGCCCTTCCTCGCTCCCGTTCAGCTTCCTCAGGACACAGACGCCCCATGCTCTTAGCTTTTGCCAGCGAGATGGAAGAAAAGAGCTGGGGACTTTTGGAGAGCACAGCAAGCGAGGGGAGCTGCCCTCCGTGAGGATGGTGGCGGCTCTCCATGGTCAGTCCCCAGCACAGTACCGGTGTGGTGTGGGGTAAGTGGCACGGCAGAGCCACACAAGCCTCCATCCCTTCAGCGGGCAGGCTTACCTGTAGATGGGATCGTGCATGACAAGCATTTTGTTCTCATCCCAGGCCCATTCTTTTTTCTGCAACAAAAGAAACTGAAAATTAGTACGTCAGATGCTGCCCTTGAGATCAAGAACAGGGCAGACACAGTCCAGGGACAGACCCGGGAAGCGCTTGTCACAGCTCTGCTGCTGCTCCCCTGCAACCCTTTGCCGAGGGCCGGATCCTGCTGGGGCCGGCGTTGTCCCACACCACCTCCCATGGGGCCCCTCCAGCCCCTTCTATGCCCACATCAGGACTGGCTCTTCCATCCTGCAGGAACACAGCTCATCCGTGGCTGATCCCAGCCCATCCCTGCCTCTCCCAGCCCACCAGAGTTTCCCAGAAATTCAAGGACCCTGCAGGTCCCTGCACCACGAGGGGAGGACTCCCGCTGCCCAGGCACTGGTGCCACAGGGACCGGGGCTGCCTACCTTCTTCTTCTTCTTCAGAATGACCTTCACACCATCCACTGACACGATGAGACTCACTTTCTTCTTCTTGATGTTCTTGGCTTTAAACTCGTACTGCAGGGGACAGAAGAAAACACCTGAATTAGCTTTCCTGTGCCAGGAAAGCCCCAGGGAGGGCTGAAGAGGCTCCAATGGGAAGGGGCGAGAGGGGCAAGGAAAGATTTCCCCGACCCCACGTGCCTCCCCAAACACAAGGACATGCCCTCATCAGCCCGCACATCCATGCTAGGACAGGACAGGGGACCTTTTTGCCCCGCAGTGTCCCTGTGCCCAGCATCCGGAGGAGCACACCCCGAAGCAATCTGGCCCCTGGATGGGCATAACGCTTTGCGCAGTTCAGGATGCTGCTAGGAATATTAACTTGTGTTTCAAAGGCACCCGCTCTGCCCCTCTGAAGGGCCGTACCTCCCCAGAGAGGGACCACCACCTCCCCAGCCCTGCCAGCCCCCAGGGTTCTACAGCCTGGCCGGGTTTGCCCTGCTGGCTTGTGGCCATTGCTGAGTTCTGGTAAGAGAAGCCTCATTTTGAGTGGGGCTTTTTAGGGGCTCGGTATAAAACTGAACATGATTGCTGAGGACTCTGTGAACCTCTCCAGGGGAGATGGGATAATGCAATTACCCACTTTGGTTAGAAGTCACTGGACAGGAAAAAAAACACCAGGAACTTCCAAAGATCAGTGACTAAACACAAAGCTCTGTCCCAGCCCCAGGGAGAGAACGAGATTCCCAAAATCCAGCCACTTTTTGCATTTAAAGTCTTTGCAAGCAGGGAGGGGGCTGGCAGGGGAATAGGCTAGAAAAGCCACTTAGGCTGAGCAACCTCCTGCTGTGGGACTTTTGGGGAGTCCCATAACCGGTCTACCATGGGTGCACCCGCATCAGGTACGCGGTATGCTGGTCCCACACGCAGGGTGCTGTGCACAGCCGTGGGGACAGACCCTCTGCACCCACCCAGTGGCAGAAAAGCCTCACACCCTGTACCTCACACACCCGAGGAAGAGGAATTTAATTAATCCTCTCATTATTTCACCAGTCTCTGCGGAGGGAGCACAGGGCAGGCACCCCAATGCAAAGCCCTGCCTCCGGTCCGCACCGAGCCTCCGTGTGACATTTCCAGCACTGCATGATGTATTAACTTTGGCAGCCAGAGCCAGCAGGCAGGAAAAGCTGCTGGCCCTGACCTGTGATCGAATGATAAAAGACCTGAAAATACAATTCCTCAAAGCCATTTTAAAGTCACCGATGGGGATGGGAGATACAGATGACTCAGAAAACAGCAGGGGAAGGTGGAGGGAATGCAGCTCTGCCCTCCCCAGTGCACAGGCCAGGCAAGCTGTGCAAGCCCACCCGCTCTGGGGCTGAAGCCTTGGTGATGGGCTGGAGAAAGCAGAACTCAGGCTCCCACCATGGCTACAGCCAGCCTCAAAATCCCCAGCACATACCCATATGCTGCTTGCAGGGCTTATTCCTCAAGGAGAAGGGTCTCACCAGAGTCCCTCACCAAAGAGCTCACTGGGGTGGGTTTCCAAGTCCCATCTCTCATATTCCCCTTCCCCGTCGTTACAAGCAGAGGTGAAACTGCATCCAAGAGCCACCTCTCTGTGCCTTGCTAAGACGCCACACCACACCAGCAGTGTGCCTCGTACCTAACACTAAAGAAATGCCTTGATTTAGCCCCGAAAAGGTGAGCTCCAGCCCGGCTACCTTAGAGTAATTAACCCAGCACCTTCTGAAGCTCTGCATGTGATTTTTCCAGGAGCCACGGGCTGAGCTGGATGCTCTCCGCAGCACCCAGAACAACTGCATGGCACCTTGTAGAGCTGCAGCCTGATTTATTGGTCCTAATGATCATTGATTATAAACATCAAGTTGCATTTCTGAGCTGCTGCAGCCGTGGGCGTCCTGTTCTGGGCCATCCGAAGTGCTAATTGATGTGGGCTTGGAAGAGACAGCAACCCTGAAAAACATCTCAGGGTTAGAGAGACTATTTTTAGCCTGATTTTTTGGTGAGTAACAGCCCCAGGACAGCAATACAGACAGGCCAGGACATTTCAGCAAAGATGCTACCCGTCCCCAGCATATGTTTCAGGGGCAGAATCAGTGCAGAGCTCCTCGAAGAGGGTTCTGCAATCCCTGGCTGCAGGCAAGGGATTCTGCCCGGGCTCACCCCGCGCCTGGCAGAGGGGAGTGCCATGGGGAAAGCTGTTTTGTCTCTGCCACGCTGAAGCCAAAGCCCCCTTGTGCTGATGGCTCATGGCAAAACTCCAGCAAGAACCGATGTGAGCAAAGAAGTCAAATTATCAGAAGGGCTGACCAGACAGATTTGTTAAGCCCTTGCATAAATCCAGGTCTTTATCCCAACACTGAGGCAAGAGCCAAGCTCCTTTGCAAGTCTGAGCCATGTGCTTAGAGAGCTACTGCACACCCTGCCCCAACCAGAGCTCAGCACAATCACTCCAACGAGTGCAGATGCTCTTTGGGATACATTTCCCATGCAACAAAGCGCAGCTTTAGCCAATAAAACGCTAATGAACTCATGCCCACTGGGGCTCTAATGAAACACTAACTGTAATTTAATAACAAATTAGCAAGGAAGAGGATTCAATAAAACGGCAATTCAGCCAAGCCACCTCTTGCATCCCTGGGCTGCGTGGCGTAGGCGTGCCAAGTCCCACAGGCCAGGAGACGCATTGCTGATTTTGGGGGGCTTATCAAATTGGAGTTTGGGTAAAGAGGTGCAAGAAGGAAGGAAAACCACCCGGGAGAGAGGAGCAGCAGACCAAACCAAAAGGGAGTATGTACCGCTCTGCAGAGCCCAGCAGGGCTATCAACACTGTTCGTGTGCTGCTTCACCCCTGCTTACAGCCACAGAGTGCAATTTGCTCTGCCTTGTTCACAAGGCTAATTTAGCAAACCAGAGGGATTTCACTCCAAGCAGTAGCTTTGGCTAAGGTCAAAGTTCCTTTAAGTGAGATTTGAGCCACAGAGACTGTAAGGGATGAACCCAAAACTGCACAGTGCAGAATCTGTGCTCAGACCTCCCGGCTTATGGTGCAGCAGTTCAAGTTAGCAGCAACTGCCCATCACCAGCTCCGCTCAGTGCCCTCTGCAGAGCAGCACCGCTCACTCACAGCCTGGCCGTGCCGGGACGCTGCTCACTGGCTACAGCAGGAAAAAGCACGTCTCACCGTGAGCCCCTGCACGCCCCAGCAACTGATGGTCACAGTCAGCCCGAGGCACCAGGAGAGGCACCAGCCCAGGCACAGTACTCGGGGCTGGGCTAGGTACCCCGTGTGCACCCTGGCTCTCCCCAGCCCCAGAGGGGTAAGCTGGCCCTACACTGCCTCCTTGGACCGCTCCCAAGCAATGGCCAGTCCTTTCCATTAGCAGACTACAGATGCCAGTATGGGCTTTTTGTTCCTGAAGACTGCTTGACATCTCAGATGGTCTCACTGATGTGCTGCATGTCAACAGGACCTGCCCTACAAGCCTGTTTACTAACTGGGCAATGGGAAACCTCTCTCCATATGACCAATCGGGACCTCCCTGGCTTGGAACTATTCTTGACCACAGCTCTGACAGCCCTGGCCATGGAGATCTGCCGGGTCTGCCCACACTTGTCAACATCCCTCCTTCTGCTGTGAAATGGAGAGAGAAAGCTTGAGAGACACAAAGCATTAGGGTTTTAGCTTTCCCTGTTGCTGGGAGGAGAGCAGAGGTGATGGTGGGGTGGGAAATGCCACCGAGACCATCTGCACAGCCACAGCAACTGCTGCTGCATCCAAAACCCATGGGCAGCAGCTGACCCAGAGGAGAAGAAAACCTGCATGTTTCATAGAATCATAGAATAGTTTGGGTTGGAAGGGACCTTTAAAGGTCATCTAGTCCAACTCCCCTGCCGTGGGCAGGGACATCTTCAACTAGATCAGGTTGCTCAGAGCCCCGTCCAACCTCACCTTGAACGTTCCCAGGGATGGGGCATCCACCACCTCTCTGGGCAACCTGTGCCAGTGTTTCACCACCCTCAGCGTAAAAAATTTCTTCCTTATATCTAGTCTCAATGTACCCCCTTTAGTTCAAAGCCATTCCCCCTTGTCCTGTCGCAACAGGCCCTGCTAAAAAGTTTCCCGCCATCTTTTTTATAAGCCCCCTTTAAGTACTGGTAAGTTTCCAGGAATGTTGGACCAATGCCATACAACCCTTGCTGGGAATACCTGCATCCCCAAAGGTGCGCTAAAAATCACACCATCGCTGCTAAGGAGCTTCTCACCGACCCAATACAAAACTGCATGCGTGGCAAAGCAAAAGTGGGGTTTCTCAAAGCTACCAGTGTGGGACCTGCCCTGCTGCTGGGAGGGGATGGGGATGCTCAGGAGGAGCTTTGCTATGCATGGCAACAGGAGCAATACGAGTGCCTCTGTAATCGGGTGCAGGGAGCTGGGTGACAGGAATTCACCCCGTGCTCTCTGGATACAGCATTCTGATTTTAGGTGACTACTTCAGCAGAAAAATCACATTTCCCTCCCTTGAGGGAACTCAGCTACCAATGGCTCCAGTTTGGAGAGTTGAATCCCAGCCTACTGTCTAATAAAGAAATGATACAGAAATAATTATCGAGCTTGGGATCAAGGAAGGAAAGAGGATTCGTGCAACTTCCCCATGATCCCTTTTGGTTTCACACCACGTAGCATTTCACTGTATTACTTATAACTAACTAAATGGTGTAATGGTCAGAAGATATTTCTTGCCCTTCAACCCAGGTAGTTTGCCCATCTTGGGCACAACTCTGGATCTTCAAATATCTGTAATAATACTACAGGTTTGGGTTAATTATATTAATTATTAGCTATAGCAATGTGGCAATCCCAGAAGATAGATAAGAAATAATTTCAGGGAAATGCACAGAAAATGGAAAGAGCAGAGAAACCTGTCTGTTCCCGGACTTGCAGAGCTCCACAGTCAGTCTTCAGCTGAAGCTCTAAGCACTCTACTAAAATTTTTAAGCAAAGATTGAAAATTGACATTTCAGGTATGCCAAATTTTAAAAATAAAAGT